GTAAATCATCTGTAGCTATTGCTTGCCCCTCAAGATACTTTTGGGAATAATCTAGTAACACCTATATCTCTCTCTGTCCATATTCTTCAGAGCTTTTCTTGTTTGTTAGCCAGTTTATAGTGCTTCCTTAAAATATTACCCCTGGAAGAATTGAATGTTTTTGAACTTTTATACCAAGTTTTTTCATGCTGTTTTTACTTCTTTCACCATTGAATGTAAGGCTATGATTTGTTTTTCTTTCTTTTCTCACATTTGCTGCTTTTTGTATCATGTATTTTGTTTGCTATGAATTCATCTGTTTATTTCCATGTGCTTTTCTTGCTTTTGCATTGTTTGAGAGTTGCTGAAACAAGAGTTGAAAAGGAGTTCAGTAGTACAAGCAATGATGAAAAAAAAGGCAAGCTTCTTGCTTTTGCAGAATAGAATTCAATTGTTTTTGGGCTTAGTTATGAGAGATGAATTCTGTAGTTTGTATTCTGTATGCTATTTACTTGTTTCCAAAATTATCTAACTTTTAGTATGGTCTTTATTCAGCTTTCAGTAAGACTCTACTTGCTTCTTGAAATCTCCCAGAAAACACAGTGGAGTACTGATCCAAGTAATTTTTAAAATGTCAGATTTTTTCATAGAAAAGTTTTTTGCTACTTGTATCTTGAATGGTAATTATAAACACTTTGATAGGAATAGAACTTCTTTTGGTTTTGAGACTAGTACATCTGTTTCATAGCTTATCATCACAGGAGCATTATCAAGAAAATATAAGTTTTCTTCCAGATGGCTAGTTTCCATCATCTTATAATGCACAAGCAGCCTTTATGCTATCTGATCTAGTTAAAAAAAAGATAGACTTAGATTCAAAATTATAATTCTGGGTTTGAAACATCATATGTATGTACATTCTTCATCAGCTGTTTCTCTGTAGGAGCTGGAATCACACATTAATATTCTTGATATTATCAACAATTAATAAAATTATTTTCCTGTTTGTCATTACAAAATCAACTTCAGTTAGTATTCAATATAATTGCTGCAGCTTTAACCTTTTTTTGGCAATTGTGTAACAGGCTCTTTTATATTTAGTAATGAACCAGAATTATTTTGTTGAGCTTGTTTTTATTAATTTTTTAAAAACTGGGCTAAGAGACTATTTAAGACTTTTTTAGGGCAATGAATTATTTCTTCACAAATTAAATTTTGACTTTCTAGATGACTTAATTGTGTATAAACCGTAACATTTACATTCAATCAAAATATTTTCTGTTTTTTCAGTCACATCAAAAGTGTATAAAAATGTAATGGAACAGGTTTTAGTTTGTCAACTGTTAATAAATTATTACAAGTTTCTGGAGGAAAGTTTGCCAACTTGGTAGTTAAGGTAATAACTGGAATGTATTCAGTATTAAGTGACATGTTAGGAGCTACATTTAGTCTACTAAACTCATCACTACACTCTTGTGGAGGGGCTACATTTACTGTATTACACTCATCACTACACTTTTGTGGAAGAGCTACATTTAATCTATTAAACTCATAACTATTGTGGAGGGGCTACATTTAGTATACTCAACTCATCTTTACAGTCTTGTAGGGGGGCTACATGACTGTAAAATTAAACTCATCACTATGGTTTTGTGGAGGAGCTGCATATAATATATTAAGCTCATCGCTACAGTCTTGTTGAGGGTCTACATTTAATCTATTAAACTTATCACTACAATCTTGTGGAGGGGCTAGATTTAGTGTATTAAAATCATCATTACAGTCTTGTGCACTACTCAGGAAAGTCATGTTAGTTTTGTATTGGTAGTGCTACATAAAAGAGGTGCAATTACATAATAGTATAAGCCTAATCTATTGTGATAATGTTGAGGCTAATTTAATGTAATATTGAAGTTGCTGATTGTTTTAATATTTTAGAAGTGCCTTCATGATCAGGTTTTTTAATAGGTCAAGATCATTTTTATTACTCATTTGTGTAGCTTGCTAATTCAAATTTGATTAGTGAGATAAAATGCCTATTATAAATTTTAATAATAATATCAGCTAGGAAACTATGGTTTTTGAAACAGAAAAAGGAAACTGGAACAGCAAGAAAATCAAGATGAATTTTTAGAAAAAGTTCTGACACTGACTTCATTTTTTAAAGTTAAACAACACATAAAAAAGAAAGCAATCCATGCAAAGAGCAGCAACAGTGATCTCCAGGTGGCAAAAGTAGTTCAAGTTGGCCTAGTGAAAATATTCTAAGTGAGTGTGAGGAGCTGCAAAGTCAATCAAACAAATCTACAGTTCAGGAAGAAGAAGAAGGTAGGTCACTGCTTAGCAAATCTAATTTCGTCAAATTTACCTCTACTGACAATGGCAGACCTGAAGAAAATTACCAGTTATTTATGGATGATGAGCTATTGGATCTCATGAAATGAAAATAAAATTATTTCTTTTAGGATTACATAACAGTTAATTCACCTGAGCAAAATTTAGACAAGATAGATTTTTCAAAATCCAAATGAGTCTACAATGATCTTTGTGCAAGATATGCCTAAAAACGTACTCAATTAACAAATGCAGAAGTTAAGAAACGAGGCTGGCTTCTACCTTCTGAATCTACAGGGTGTGCATTTTGTGTATCATGTAAATTATTTGGCAAACAAGCAAATGCATTTACTAGTGTCAGTTACAATGATTGGAAAAATTAAAAGCATTTAATTAGATATTGCAAATCCTTTGAGAATGCAGAAAATAAAAGTTTTTTTTTTTTTACTTATTCAGAGGCACAGAGAAAAATTGATTGCAAACAATATGACCAGTACTTGAGAGACTTGGCAGGTTTGTCTCTTAATTCTGATATAGTTGAGTCGTCATCAATTGATGATGATATTGATACTTTTGCCACTGCAAAATCAAGGAGAAAAAAATTATAATGCTAGAACAGCATGGATAGTGTCATTTGAATTAACACTGGACCTTAAGTTCTTGGCTCTTGTGTGGGTAGACCAAGAATCAGACTTTATAAAGTTAAAATCAATGGTTTTAGTGTTTGCATCTTGGCCAGTCCTAATAATGGATATTCTAACTTTGCTTTGCAAGGAGGAATCAGTATAATTTATTGCTTATTTTATAGAATATAGGCTTAACAGAATTACATGAGTTAAAGTTTAGAGACAAATGCTCATTTTTTCAGCATAGACATTATTTTTGTTATATATGTTTTTTATTTGGAGGGGTGTGCTGAATTTTCGGAAAGTGTTACGCTGGCTCTGCTCATAACTACATTTGTGGAGGGGCTTCATTTAGTGTATTCAATTCATCATTACAGTCTTATGAAGGGGCTGCATTTAGTGTATTCAATTCATCATTACAGTCTTATGAAGGGGCTGCATTTAGTGTATTAAATTCATCATTACAGCCTTATGAAGGGGCTACATTTAATCTATTAAACTCATAACTACAGTCTTGTGGAGGGGCTACATTTAGCCTTTTGAACTCATCATTACAGTATTATGGAGTGTCTACATTTAATATATTAAACTCATCATTACAGTCTTGTGGAGGGACTATATTTAGTCTATTAAACTCTTCACTACACTTGTGAAGGGGCTAGATTTGGTATATTAAACTCATCTTAACAGTCTTGTAGATGGGCTACATGACTGCAAAATTAAACTCATCATTACAGTGTTGTGAGGTGGCTTAAGCGGCACTTTGTATTCTAGGGTTGAAAATGAAACAACAGCTGTATGTCAATCATATTTTAATGCACCTTTTTAATGTGTAAAGGATCTGAGTTATGACTAATAGTTATCTCAAAAGTGTCAAGAAAAATTTCTAAGTAAACTTACTCACTTCAAACAGTGATAGAAACATAACCAGTATTGCACTCCCTGTCATTTATCTTTTAGTTTTATCTTTTTCATATTATTGGAGTAGAAAATTATGTGACCTGGTTTACTTCCTTCAGTTAATACTATGTGCACAGGTGAGGGTCAAACTGCATATGCCACAACCTTTTACAGAGTGCTATTCAATATGGTATTATGTATTTTATGTTAGTTATGAGCTATTCATTTTACCCTACATTGCTGATTTAGTGACTGTTTGTGTTTGAGCAGGGTAAATACCAGATACAATATTTGGAGATACTGACAGAAAAACTATAGATAAGAATTTTGGAGGTTTGAGAGGTTGTGCAAATGCAATATGCAAACTGTGTGATAGACAGAAGTATTTTTATTCTTCACATGAACATAACTTGCTCTCCAACTTGTCAGAGTCTCAATTAGACTGACTTCATTAATTCATGGATATATACAAATACTTTTGTAACACATGATTTCTTTTAGACAACAGTCTTGTACATCTTACTGAAGGCTTGGCATGTTTTGTGTAAATACTCGTAACATAATACATTTTTAATGATAGTTAGTATTCTTTCTCTAATATGTAGTTAGTTCATTGGACTGACCATGTGCAAAAAGACCTCCGAGGGCTTGGAGTGTGCTTGGGCCTGTGTACACTTGTAAAATTAAGTGGGTTTGGTGTATCCATCAAAATTATTTTTATCCACATTCCTTAAGAAATATATCAGTAATTTTTCACTTAAAATAATTGTTTAATTTATTTGTAACGAAAGTGTGTATGCTGTAATATTGACATTCATATATAATAGCTTCCAAGTTTAACTTTCAGGCAGAGAAAATAGACATTAGATCTCTGTCAAAAAGTTCCTAGTCAGTTTTATACATGAGCCCTGGTACTGAGTGAAAGGTCTTACCAGCACTGGATATGGCAATCGTAGTGTGGCTAACGTGTTTTAACATATTCTCTTTTGCTTTCGCACCTGGATTCTTAGAAATAGAATTATATAAAGCTGAAGCTAATTTAATGAATAAAGAATCTTCATCTTTAATTAATCACTTTTTTCTTTTATTTCTCTCCTAAATAGAGTTTTTACAATTTATAAAGCTGGCTTATCCTTAATCTAGGCTTTCTAAATTTTCTAGACAATCCGTTGTCGCTATGTTGTTACCTGTGGTGGGCTGTACTCTGACAAATTAGCAGAACTATCAGGATGCAGCAGCGAACCAAAGATAGTGCCTTTCCGAGGAGAGTACTTATTGTTAAAGCCAGAAAAGTCTAGTCTTGTGAGAGGAAACATTTATCCTGTAAGTTAGAATTGGACTAAGGGTGCAGCTCTGTCCTCATGCTGAGTTTCTTTTATTTAAATTCAGAATTTAAATTATATATCTCCTTAATTAAAATAACAAAATAGCCATAGTTTGCCAATTCTACTTATCAAATATTTAATGGTTGATAAATAATTCATTATCATCATTAGTAACAGATGTTTTATACAATTTGTATGCTGTCAATAGAAGTAGCTCATTGCATAAATGAAGACAGTTTGTTTTTTTCAACATTTCTGTAGAAATTGAATTTTAAATTGACCCAAAGGCCTACTGGTAAAATAAAAATCTATCTGTATTTATATGATGCTTTGAAATTTCTTTTATTCACACAGTAATCCTGTATTTATAGATGAATTTCGAGTATATGCAGCATTGATGTTACTAATTTATTCTTGTGAATTATTTCGCTGACAAGTTGTTTGAAAATACCAAAATATAAATGAAGTCCAATCTATTATATAAAATTCCTATATAATTTTCAGTTTTTACATTGTCAAGGGCTAATGAAGATGGGTGGAATTCTCTAAAACTGGTATAACTTGGTGACAAGTGGTAAACTGAACGATAGATTGGTCTTCACATTTATTTTTAAGCTTGTTTTTGTTGATTTTACTAAAATCATTCATTTCTATACTGAAATTCATATTTTCTTTATTTCTAAACGTTTTCAAAATTTGGGTAAGATAAATGCTGTAAAAGTAAAATTTTCATGATGATTACAAGAAGATTATCCAACACCTGTGTTCATTATTAGGTACTCTTCAGATCAAGTCCTTTTATAACATTGTTGTACTTATTAAGGAGATCAATATAGAATTTGAAATTTATAAGTCTGCCTAACAGGTTCCTGATCCACGTTTTCCTTTTTTGGGAGTTCACTTCACACCACGAATAGATGGAAGTGTCTGGCTTGGTCCAAATGCTGTTCTTGCATTTAAAAGGGAAGGTTACAAACCAACTGATATTAGTTTATCAGATCTGTGTGAATCTTTGAAATACAGGTAAGGTTAGATCATTGCTACACCTGTTAAATCACTGCAACTAAATTTCTTTTAATATGTATAAAGAGCATTTTAAAATCCAAGCTAAGAACTGAATGAAATACTTAAACTTCTGGCAAACAAAAGATAGATCTTGAATGATATTTATTTGGCACATACAGATGACGATGATGACACATTTCCTTTGGACAAGATGACAGTCCATCATGCAGATGTGTAGACAACTGGGGTAAAGTGTCTTGCTTAAGGATGTAACAGCATCTCCTGAGCAAGCTTCAGACTCACAACCATCTGATTATGAGTCCAAAAAGTGAATTCAATGAGGCACCCTGTCCCTTATGCTATAGGTGCTAAATAATTATCAATATTGCATTACTATTGTGGCATACTGCCAACCTCTTTTTTTTGGAGGGGGTGGATAGATTAATGCAGTAGATCTGTTAAGGATTAGTGTAGCATTTTTTTGAATATTATAATAATACTGTTGTGTCATTATAGTAGTCCTGTTGTAATATTATAGTAATAATATTGTGGTATTATAGTGGTGCTGTTGTGGGTATTATAATAGTACTGTTGTGGATTTTTTGGTAATATAATAGTACTGTTGTGTTATTATAGTAGTACTGTTGTGGGCATTATAGTGGTACTGCTGTGGACATTACATTGGTATTGCTGTTAGTATTATAGTGGTACTGCTGTTGGTATTATATTAGTACTGATGTGAATATTATAATAGTACTGCTGTGGGTATTATAGTAGCACTGCTATGAGTATTATAGTGGTACTGACATGAGTATTATATTAGTACTGTAGCAAAACTTTAATATAAGTTTAACATAACAGCAAATGTACAACGTTTCGACAAGGTTTTGTCATCATCTGATGTACCTGATGATGACAAAACCTTGT